GGAGATGAGAGACGTAAGGGCCGGGAGAAGGGGCCAGAGTTACCCCTTCGGGTTTTAACCCATCCGGGCCCAAAGTCGCCCGCTTCCCCCTCTTTTTGCAGCAGCAGGTTCAGGGGTGTTCACAGCCAAGAGCTGCTTTGCTCCTGCCCCCAGGAACTCATGGGTGTACGGCCTGGTTCCTCACCCTGGGGCAGTGAAAAGCACCCAGTGAGCTCAGCATCTCCCACAGAGCCAGGGTCTAGAGCCCCCTGCATCCCAGCACCTTCGTACCTCCATCCCCTCCCACCTTCCAGACCTTTCAGCCAAGTTTTTAACATCCCCAGATGTTACAAAGGTGTAAAGAAGTAGCATCCTACAAATGTTTGAGGCTATCCTGTAAATGTTGGGGGAATTGAGAGCAATTTGCACCAACAACTCGCTGGCCAAGCGTCAGGTATAGCCATCTTTTCTTTATTTCTAGGTGGAAAGCTATGTGGGTCACGTCCGTAACCTGACGGAGGAAAGGGATGCTATCACCACTGAGTATGAAACAGAAAACGAACAGCTCAGGCTTGAGCTGGCACGGCTGCAGCTGCAGCAGGGTAATCCTTTCCCTCCACAACGCGGTCTAAGGAGATGGGTTAACAGGTAGTGGTGTTACGGGCCTTTCAGCAGAGCTGGTTTAAAGCTTCTCTGAGAGCAGAGCAGCATTTCTCAGTGAGTTCTGCTAGACCAGGGTGTGTGGTATGTCATTTGGGAGGTTGGCAGCAGTGTTAATGAAACATTAGAACTGATTTGTAATCGACTTAGAGGTTCTTGTCTGCTTTTACTACCTTTATTCAGCGAACTGGGCTTCATGTGGCTTCTCACTTCATGTGGCTCTGTTGTTGCACTAAGCATCTTCCAGATGCTGTTTGAAGAATAGAATTAATGGTGCTGTTTGTTTGCCAACTCTAAATTATTGGACAGTGACTCCTTGGGTCGAGCTGTGTCGAGCTGTGTTCCCGCTGAAGTCATTTTAAGTGCCATTGCCTTAGACAAAGTCCACATTTTTTAAAACAACTTTGAAGGGCGGTGGTATGTTTGTGACGGTGTTTCAAAACTTGTCCTGTGTGCTTATTTTAGTATAGTAATTTTCTTTAAAACAAATTATTTCACTTATATTTCACTTCAGATTATTTGCTTTCTTCTCAAACTCTGGAATCACTTCCAGTAAGGGCAAATACATTTTGCTGATTTTGATTTTCTTCAGTCTTCCTAGTCCTCTCCTGAGCTTTGAGTGCTGCTGATAGCACACCCTTATCGTTGACTCCTCCTTTTGTCGTGTGTATCATCCTGGGCTTAAGGCAAAATTGGGGGTGATAGCACAGCTTGAATGGTTTCCTTGCTATGCACACTTTACCTGGGGAGGCAAATCTGGGAATTTGGGGAAATTGATTGTGGTTTTGGGTCTCGGTTCGGTTTTGGCCAGCCTGCAGGTTTCAGGGAGCACATCTGATGGAGAGACTTTTCAAAGGTGGGTGTGCTTAAGCACCACCTGAAAATCTGGTTCCTCTGGGTATGTAAAGCCATCATTTAGTGTTGAAAATGCTGGTACGCAATGGTTTAAATGACTAACGAGCCTTTGGAAGCATTGCTGTGGCAGAAAACTTTATTACTGCTTATTTTCTCATCTTCCCCACAAGGTGGCAGGCAAATGACAAAAATGTCCTGAAAGCTGGCTTTGCATTTATTTCCTCATAATGGCTCCGCTCCTTTGGACTTTTTCCTTTTCTTTTTTTTTTTTTTTTTTTTTTTTAAGGATTCTTGTGGTTGTTGAGCAATGATTAACACTCAGATGGAAATAGAAATCCACATCTGCTACCCTGGTGGATTGGGGTTTTTGTGGTTCTGTGGGTGCTTTGGTGCCATGCGGTGTTGCTGTGCAGCTTTCTGGAGGAGTTTGCTTTGGGATATTGCTGTCAGATTTTGGTTTTTAAGAGTTGTTACTACCTTACTGATGGCATTAGCTGTGGTCCTGTGATATGCACTGATAACATAGTGATCTGGGCAGTGGATGAAGCCCTGCCTTCTACCGGGCTGTCCTCCGCAGTGAGGGATGCCAGCCCTGACGTGTTTTGGGATGCTTGTAGATCGTTTTCTTGAGGGACTGGTCTTTTGCTTTGCAGGTCAGCCTCTTGACAAAAAAAACCCGCTCACTGGCCATCTCTGGTGCAGAGCGGATGGATTTGCTCGTGCTTTAGCTGCTGCACTTTCTCAAAGACTTCTGTCAGGCCTTTGCCTGCTCCGGGTCTCTAACGTAACCTCTGCTGCAGGGTTCAATGCTGCATCGCTGTGTCTGTTCCCTGGCCCTCTGCTTTTCATCAGAGTTTGTGCAAACCAACCCAGAGATGCCTCCTGAGCCCCGTGGGTTGTAGGACAGGCTGAAGGTCTTCAGCTAGAAGTTGACTTTCCTATGGGTCTTACTTCTCTTATTTGTGAGGGGCAGCTGGTTGTCTTTAGTAGGGATGAGATGGTACTGCAGATCAGGCTGGAAACAGGGCTGGAGAAGGGCCCTGTGGCAAGGCAGACCCCAGTCTACTGGGATTGTTAAACGAAAATGTGGGCAAGGCAAGAAGAGAGGATGGTGGTGGTAGGGAGCTTTTGGGAGGCTTGAAACAATAACGAGTTCAGATGGGAAGGGGCAGTTGAGGACAGAGGCTGGTTCAAGCCTGTGGTACAAAGGAGGGGCCTGACCTGTGAATGGTGAGGTGCAAGTGGCCAGGATCTGTCCTGATCTTGCTCATCGTGACAAGTGGGAGTCCCAGCTTTGGGGAGCTGAGAGGTCAGGAAGGGAAGAGGCAAAGACTGGGGTAGATACAGGAGATCGCTTGGGTGGGCTCTTGGGACCGTGCACGCTCCTTCTTCCAAAAGCAGCCAAACAGATCGGAAGCTCTGCTTGGTCTGAGGATTGCTGGGAGCAATTCAATCTGCTAAAAGCTGTTTCTGATGATAAAAAGTAAGTTTCTGCTTCCACATTTACTTCTTGACTGGAATGGGCTCGAAGGGTTACTGCAGAGAGCAGCCACGGCTGGTTTTATGTTGGGCTATTGATCTGAGCTTTACCTCATTTGGTACCTCTGCCCAGAGTGAAATTTTTCCTTTCCTCGAGGCAGTTTGTAATCCGTTTCCGATGGTTCTTGTCGAATACGCCTCAGTGTTTTTGGAGGGCAGATCGATAACTCATGTGCTGCATTACCAAAAGCCTTTCTGAAAAAGAAATGTAACGGCAGTAAAACACAATGTTGTTGGGGGCTTGCCTCGATCTGTTGAAGAAGTGGAACAAAAAGAATAAATAGTCATGGCCTGAGCTTGTTTATTGTAACAGCTGTACTGCTTAAACGTACCCAACATGGATGAGAGGCTGCAGCTTCTGTCATGGGTATGAGGATAGCAGTGAACTGCTTATTTCTGAGAAACTTCCTGGGGTAAGACACCTTTGCAAATAGAAAACTGGCTTCCAAAGAAGCGAGTGCGGAAGTGGTGCAGGAGATAGGTGCTGGTGGGAATGCATCAGTGCAGTGGTGTTTGATCTTCTCAAATAGGACATGTTTGAGATACTCCTAAGAAATTAGTGGGTTTTACAAGCAGGTGGTCTGTACAGATCTACAACAGGCGCCCCTCATCCTCCCAAATCCTTTTCCTCTTCACCCTGTAGAAGATTTCTAGGTTTTGTTACCCCAAACCATACTGCTTAGGTGTAGGGGAAATATTTGCTAGTAAAACTGTCAGTGTAGGAGCCACCGTATGAGTTCAGAGCATTGGTCCAAAAAGGAGATGGTTGTCCTTGTTTTGCCCATAAAGCAGAGCAGCTTTCAGCTTATTTTAGATGGGATTTGGTAAAGCTGAGAGGAAACTGCAAGGCAAGTTGAAGGCAAGGGGGATTTTTCAGTTCTGTATGAGCTGTGGGCTCTTCATAATGTACGTGGAGCAAGTGGTCAGCTATTTTTAAACTGCAAAACACGATATTTTGCTCTGCTTCATGGAGGAAAGCTGCAAGTCAGCCATGTTTGACCTCTTCATTGAACAAGCTGTAATTTGTAACCACAGGGGAAGGCAAACGGGAAACCGCAGGGTGTTTTCCATCCATAGGGCTGGACAGAGCTGGCTGCAAAATGCAGAGTGGAAACATGCGATTGATTTGAGCCTTAGGATGTGATTGCACCGGGTCCCCTGTTAAATCCCGTGTATGGAAGTGAGGAACAGACTTTTCCAGAGCTGTGTATGTATCCTGTGTAAGAGTATGAGGAATATTTGCTCTGCTTCACTTCACCTGTGTACCTTCAAACAACAGGTCTGTTACCAGAAGCAGTCCTTGGCCTGGGTTTATGGCTGGTTTTGGAGGAATGGGTCAGGGATGCTGTTCAAAGAGTGATTTCTAAAGTCATGTACTCCCGAGTCCCTTTGTGCTCCCGGGGTGCTGTTTCTCCAACTGCTTCAGGCCCTTCTTGGTTCCTTTCTGTGCTTTCCTACTGTATCACATGGGATCCAACACCCCGATCTCCACCACGGGCCATACATCACTGCTGAGCGTGAGGAAAAACAAGATATTCAGATCCACCTCCCTACCAGACAGTCCTTAGGAAAATAAGGATGTTCTGCTTATAAGTGACATGGTATTTTGTGTCTCTTCTTCGGAAGAAAATTATTATGATTGCTTGTCTGTCTGGTTTCTCTCAATGCCTTTTTAATCTGTTTAATTTTCATGAAACTGTGTTAAGGAGTAAAAGGGTTGGGGATAACCAGGTTGGTGAAGCTTAGATGCCGGGTAGAGGAAAACAATCATCATAACCCTCCCACTTAAGGCAAGGCTGGAGAACTCGGTCAAGATGCAGCAGGTCCTATCACTTGCTTGGCAGGCAGGGCAATGGATGTGAGCGGGGGCAGATCAGAAACACTGGGGGGCAGATGGAATAGGGCTGAGATAAGAACAGGATAGGAGGCAGAAAGGGAGGTGGGAAGCAGGAGAAGAGACTAAATGTTTTATGAGCTCCAGGGCTGTTGTGGTGGGGAGTGTTTAGAGGAACTAGGATGCAGATCTGGAAGGAATTGGGCTTCGTTTGTTCCTCTGCTCACAGAAAGCCTTGTCTTGCAGAAGCCCAACTGAAGGAGGCCGAGGAGATGCTGGAACAGGAAGGCTTGTCCGAAATAGCTCACAGTAATGCCAGCGAACAGATTGCTTATTTACTGGTAGAAAGAATGACGCTGCTGGAGAAACTGGAGATTGCAGATCAGAAGTTGAATTTGCACAGCTGCATAGACGGGCTGTGCACGACAGAGCTTCAGGTACCTCCTGCTTTAGCTGCTCAGGCTGACTGAAAGCACGCTGGGGAAAAGGTTGTCTTTGAGATTTTTTTTTTTTTTTTTTAAGCAAAAATATTTCTCCTATCTATGAGGACACTGGATTCTTAATGTTGAATCTGACTTCTTTATTAGTTTTCAGACTTATACATTTACACTTGATTTGCTCCCACATCTTGCACAGGGATATTGAAGAGGATTAACTTTAACAGAGCAAATGTTAAAATTAGTATTTTAATTAAAATATAATTATAATTATAAAATATAATTATAATTATATAATTATTATGTGGTTGGTCTGAGGATCTTCATTGGGTAATAATGACTTTCTACTAACCCAGATTTCCTGATGGTCCAGGATTTAATTTCAGATGACTGAGTTCCCCTGAAATTCATTAATTTAAGGAAAAAACCCTTCCCTATACTTACAGTGAGGTTAAAAGTCTTCCTTTGTCTTCCAGCTGCTGAGCTGGAGGATGGAAGTTAAGCAAACCTCTGCTTACAAACGGAGTTCAGTAAATAAATTTCACAGCCTGACTTGATGATTGGCAGGTTAGAGGGGACCATCCATGTCTTGATTTTTTGTTTTCCGAGGTCGAAGTGAACAACGCTGACAAATGGGGGAGGAGTAGCAGCTACTGCACGTTGGAGAGACAGTTTGTGGCTGATCTTCTCAGTTAGGGAGATCTCCCTCCCACCAAGGCCACCAATTTCCACCTGCTGGCTCTTGTAGCTGTTTCTCCTGCATTGCTGTGCTTGCTGGCCTCATCCATAACTTAGCTGTGACAGCAATGGCTGTGGGATGTACAGGAGCATAAAAATTGCTGCACTAGGCCGGGTCTGGAGCCTGTTTAGCCCTGTGGTATTTGTGATACAGAGCGTTAAGTTTTACTTCTTTTTCCCAATCTCCTTCTGCCACTTCAGAAGTGGCCAGGCCAGGTTGCTCCTGCCTGGGACCCAGTGGGTGAGCTTAGGGGAGAAGGCTCCAGGCTGCAAGGGGAACGTGAGAGGGTCAGGAGCTGCACCCCCCCTACAAAGAGCAGCCAGCCAGGACTCACAGGAAAGCCCTCCTGGGGACAGAGGAGACCAGCAGGGTTTGGTGACCTCCAAAGTAGGGCTTGGCTGGAAGCAAGAGCTGCCTGCTGAGGCACAACTAGGTGCCATTTCACTTCTGTCACATCTTCTGTCACTACCCTGAATTTCCGTGGAGTTGAAAAGCTTCTTGGCCTTCTATGGGCGAGCTTGCTGGAGGAGGGAGGCTCGACGTGCCTGCTGCACAGTTTGGCTTGGCTTGGGCTGCGTTGTGCCATCTGACCAGAAGCCAAATGCGAAACCTCAGAAGACAGTGTCGTAGGAGAGCAAATATGTTGTGACAGTTCGTCAGAAATGCTCCCCTTGCCTCCAGTGGCATGCAGTGTCTGAACCAGAGGTGCTATCGTTGTGTCTAGTAGTCCTCGATTAATTTTTCTTCCATGAATTTGGTTCTTGTTAACTCCTTGCAGTTTTCTTACATCCTCAACATCTTGTAGCAAGGACTTTCACAGTTCAGTTACTGTCACATGAAGTTCCTTTGTTTCAACCTACCATCTCCTGGCTTCGTTTGATTCTTTCCAGCTCTTGTATTAAGAGGGAGTGAACAATTGCCTTTTTATCTGCCTTTTCTGTGCCACTTGGCATTTTACTGACCTCAAGAGCATCCCTTTCTGGCTGGAGAGTCCTAGCCTGCCTAACTATTGTAGGGTTTGGTGTCCTTCAGGATTCATGCATGGTACAATAACACCTTCAAATGTAAATATCCACCTCGAAATCAAAGAATCTGTTTGCAGTGAGGCAGAGAAACTTCCCCAATGTGCTGTCTCCCACTCTTGGATAAAAAATGCCTCTCTGCAAATCCTGAATAATCTACCCGTGAATGCCTGTCACTCAATACGAATATTTGCTGCATTTTTTCCTATGAAGCAGGGTAACAGAAACCTCAGTATAGTTAAAAAGGGGAAGCAGAGATGTAACCTTCCAGTGAACCACATCTGCTACCAAGCATTTATCAGGTTGCCACGGCTGAGGGAGGGAAGGAAGTAGGGCCAGGGCAGATGAAGGACACAGATGTCTGCAAATCATGTTGAATCCAAACCTTGTTGCACGGAGCTCGTCCTTCTGAGGATGCATCTGACTTCTAGCAGTCCCCTCTCAGGACCGTTCTTTCTAATGATCCTGTAATGAACGTGTTTCTGTAACAGGACTGGTCCTGAATGTTGGATAACGATGCAGGGAGTGTTGTTTCAGCTGGGCTGGGTGAAGGACAGCGCCAAGGCAAAGTCTTGTATGTGGAGATAATGTAGGCTGTCTATGTCTGAAGAACAAGGTGGAGTTTACCCGAATTCGTCCTGGTACGTGGTGCCAGAGTCCCCTAGCAGGCAGACAGGCCTGTAACTACCTGACTTTTACCCACTTTTCATGCGGCTGTTGAGGAGTGAGACTTACTAAAGGAAAATGCATTCTTGCATTATCAAAACGCATTACAAGCTTAATGCTCCTTGTTGCTAATCGAACACAACTCCTCTGCAGTTCTTATACTGGGCATCTTTCTTTCTATGTTTTTAAAACCAGGTGAAAGACATATTTTCCAGGAAAACAGTTTCTCTAAAGCAGACTGTTTTTTTCTCCCCAGATGATGTCATTGCTGTCCATGCTTGTGAACTAGAAACTGTTGATTGAGCACTCCATTGTTTGGGTAGCATCACACTTGTTTTACAGAATCATTAGAGTCACAGCAGTGTTACAGGTTAATAGGTTAATTGCTCTTGTTACTCTGTTTACTGGAACGTGTAGCCTTTCTTATTCTCAAATGACCTGTTACGTACTTGTTTCGCTCGTAGACTGGAGGTCCAGATACGTTCCTGCCTGTTACAGAAATGAATGCAGCTTTTAGCCAGACTGCTCAAGCATAATTGATTTTTTTTTTTTTTTTTGGATGCATCCTTGCTAATGCAAAAAGCCAGGGTACAAACACGCGTCTTTGTGTAGTCAGCTCTAATATATACATGGGGAAATGCTTCCTGAGCTCTTGTAGGGGGCATGTCATGTATGAGCATGCTCACCTCTCTAGAGCTAAGGTGCAAAATATTAATGACGGCCAACCTCCTGAACATTAGCAAATCCTTGATGCTGGTTCATGTGTGCAGGAGTCTGTTAACTCCATAAGTGGTTCAAAAGAGAGGGACACAGGGAAGTAACCCGGTGTTTCTCTGATAAAGTGAGCCAAGTGTGCTCAGCACCAGTGTATTTCATTGGGCAAAGCTGAGCCCACAGGGTCTAAAAGGAAGATGCAAGGAGATCACAGGTTTTAAAAAAAGTAGTGAGCCTGCCAAGTTCCCAGTACTAGCTGAGACAACTGAGGGATTGTCGCAAGGCTTTGGGGTAACTCTGGTTGAAACAGTCTCTTCAAATATAAGGTATGATTATAATCCCCCTTCTAATCAAGATATGTTGAAACTGAAAATCCTGTGCAGTGATGTCAAGGGATACACAGCAGCATGCTTTCTGATCATTTATTAAATCTCTTTCTGTGCAAGGATGAGTTCGATCACGTTCATCAGACATTAGAAGTTGAATTCCAACAACAGCATGAATCCACACAGCTTTCTGGAGAGACAATGAATAAGGTAACACATTTGCATGTATTCCTGATGATGGCGTGGCACACAGTTGAGATTTCAAGTACCGTGTCTGTTCTTAAGCATGCTGTGAGGTGTTTTTATTGTTTTTAGCTGATGGGATGCGAGTGAGCTCTGAACTTCAGGCTGTGCAACCACATCAGTCTGGTGCTACGCATGAGTTAATTGCTGCTTCTGAGAGCCGGGATTAACATCTTGCCAGCTTTGGGTCAGGGCTGGCTTGTAAGCACTCATGTGCCTTTAACGGTAGCCACAAAGAAATGTCATTGGAGATGAACGGACCAAAGTTGAGAGGGAGAGAAATAGCTATTTTTGTATCAGCTGAAATGACTTTTCTGCAGAATCACAGGTCAGTGGGAGTGGTCTCTGGCTCCTGTGCTCTAGGAGTGAGCGCAGACTGGAAGAGGAGGTTAGCAGTCTGGGCTGGCTTGGGGCTAGCTCTCACAATGGCCATGGGGCCGCAAATGTGTAGAATTGACTTGTTCTTGGAGCAAACTCTCACAGGGTGTGGTGGAGCCCTCTGCTTGGAAAACCTCATGTATTGTGTGTTTAAAAACACATCGTAATTAATGGCATTGTCTCAGGGAGGGAAAAACAAAGCCTTGTGTAGGGGAACACACCATGCTGTTCACCACCTGTGTTTTTGCATGTGCCCATGGTGAAGAGGATTGACTGCTGTGTGTTTGTCTCCTGCCTCTGCAGTGGCTTCCCCAAGCTCACCTGCTTTCTGTTTGTGTTGCCAGCCTTGTTCTGGCGGGTCAGGAGTAGAGCAGAGGGTGGACCTGCCTTGGTCACATCACCAGGAGGAGGGTTGTCTCGTTTCCGTTGGAGCATTAGCCCTTGTGTTTCAGTCCTACAGGGAAGAGCTGGAGAGGGAACAAGCGTCACGTGCAAGAGTTGAACGAGATCTGGATGAGGCCACACAGAGGCTGATGATGGCCCAGGAGGAGATCCAGAGGTTGACAGACGAGCTGGATGCACAAAGAAAGGAACAGAGCAAAATAGGTAAGCACTTCTCTTGTGGCCAATCCTAATTACTGGCCTGCACTTAGCCCATCCCTGGTTAGTGTAAGCCTTTGACTTCTCACCCAGGGGAGTTGGAGGCGGGCTGTCCTGTGTCCTGTCTGCTTGTAATGTGGAAAAATCGGTGTCAGATGTTAGCCTGGTACCTAGGAGAACTGAATGCAGTTGTTAACAGTCACAAATCAATTAATTCTGAGTGGGGAAAGCTGAGACATGGGGTTATCTGATCTGTGATTACAGCAGCAGGGTCTTGACTGAATTCCTCTCCCTGGCTCATATACAGGGAGAAATTTATGCCCTGGGAGGGGGATGGAGAGGAAATGATGACTTGATCCAGAAACAGAGTAGCTAAAATACCACATACACAGTGTTAGCACAGCCGGACCACTAGGTTCTTAAATGCTGTGTTTGGGATGCTGGCTCCTTAGGAGCCACTAAGTGCTTATAACTGGAGCTTATCAGCAGTCTTGAAGTGACTGGTTAGATACTTAACACTGCTAATATTTGCTTAACCTCCTTCTTGAAATAACTGTTGTTGACCAGCCCTTAAGTGTTACATTTTTTTAAAAATACCGACTGTAAAAATAAACAGTTTTTTGGAGGGAAATCAAACTACTTGATAAAGCTCCTGTTGGAACGGTGCCTAAGCCAGGTGCTGCACTGCTACTTCCTACAGGAGATTTCCCGAGCAGAGAAGAGTAGAGTCCCCATCCTTGGAGGTATTTAAAAGAAGGATAGATGAGGTGCTTAGGGATATGGTTTAGTGGTGGGATGGCAGGGTTAGGTTAACGGTTGGACTCGATGATCTTAAAGGTCTTTTCCAACCAAAGCGATTCTATGATTCTATAAAACACTGTTTTTTGGATCATGGAATCATAGAGTCGTTTAGGTTGGAAAAGCCCTTTAAGATCACCAAGCCCAACCGTTCCCCTAACCCTGCCATCCCACCACCCTGTCAGGCAGTTGTAGGGAGTGATAAGAGCTCCCCTCAGCCTCCTCTTCTCCAGACTGAACACCCCCAGCTCCCCCAGCCGCTCCCCATCAGCCTTTGGGCTCCAGACCCCTCCCCAGCTCCGGTGCCCTTCTCTGGACATGCTCCAGCCCCTCCATGTCCTTCATGTAGTGAGGGGCCCAACCCTGACCCCAGCATTTGAGGGGCGGCCTCACCAGTGCCCAGGACAGGGGCATGGTCACTGCCCTGCTCACCACACTAAATGCTTTTTCTCTGGGTTATTTAAATTGTCCCAAAACCTGCGATACAGAATTTCAGTGGAGAACAGCAAAATGTGATGAGGTAACACATTCCTGCCCCAGGTGCCTTTGCAGACTGATTCACTTAAGGGGACTGTTACCACCTGGGTAGGGTTTGTGTGTGAACCACAGGTCCTGATGCTGACCTCACAGCTCATGCATAACACTCAGACCTAGCTAAACTTTCCTGCCAGCCTCCAAACCCATCATTTACAGCCTTTTAATCAAAGGCAGGGAAACAAGCACTCTGCGGGCATCTGCTTTGTGTATTGATTGATACATATGCATCCCTGGGGATGGAGCAAGCTGTGTGTTGCAGCCTCCAAACAGTACCGCTTCTCCAGATCACAGATGGGCTGCAGCGAGCGACTCCTCTCAGTGGATCATAGCCTGCGTGGGGAAATCTGTGTTTTATAATCTTCTTAAGTATCAAATGAATATAAGGCTTGTCAAACTGTGAGTAAGGGTTTAATGCTTGTTACATCTGTGTGGTTTACTATGCTGCGAGTGTTAGTGTGCAAAATTAGCATTATCATTTCTTAGTGGCTCCCTCAGTGATGTATATCTGCATGTATTCTCCTCCAGACGAGCTTCTAACTGTTCTATAAATAAATAGATTTTCTAATAAAAACCTAAAATGAAATCTCTGCTCTTTAGTGAAACTCCACCTAAGCAGTGTATTTTGGTTCCGTGATAACTTGCAGCTGCTTTTCTTGTGTTGAAGACAAAATACAAGGCTGCTCCTGGCCAGTTCGTAAGCCCAGTTATTGGGTCTTTGGTGATGGTGATTAGAGATTTTAAATTGTGTGCCTAGCTGCCTGCTGCTTTAATTTTTTTTCTTTAGTTTCCCTTCAACTCTCTGTTTAACAAAGTGCATTAAAAATATTGCTGAGTTTTGTGTTCAGAAGCATACCAATGGACTGCCACAGCAAAACTGTCTCTGTTTTCCTTGTAGAACTGGCCTTGCGGTCAGCCCTGCAAGCACCTGAGAGCTGGGAGGAAGGGGGAAACGAATGGAGAGAGGGTGGTAAGTCATGCTGTTTACAAGCAGAGAAGATCCAGAATCCAACCTAAACGATTGTATGATTCTATGAATTTTATCCAGGCATTCTGTAGCAGTAAACAGGCTTTTCAGCAAAATGGACACTTTGGTAGAAGGTGTTCCTTGCCTTTTATTTTAAATTACAAAACTGAAATTCCAATATCAAAATCCTTGTTTGAAACAGAGGTTTGGGGCTGTGTGGGCGGGGGGTGGTTTTTTTGGTTTGGGTTTTTTTTTTTTTTTTTTTTTTGCCAGACTGGGAGCCAGAAAGAAGGTATGTTTTTATTTTTGCCCTGTTAAAAGTCGTATTTAAGCTGAAATTCCCTATGCCCAGTGTTAAGCTGAAAAGGGAAAATTCTTTGTTCACCTCTTATAGAATCACAGAATCATTTGGGTTGGGAAAGCCCTTTAAGCTCACCAAGCCCAACCGTTACCCTAACCCTGCCATCCCTCCACTAAACCCTGTCCCTAAGCACCTTGTCTGCCTGGCTTTTAAATCCCCCCAGGGATGGGGACTCGACCCCTTCCCTGGGCAGCCCCTTCCAGTGCCTGACAGCCCTTTTGGGGAAGAAATTTTTCCCAATGTCCAACCTAAACCTGCCCTGGCACAACTTGAGGCCATTTCCCCTCGTCCCATCGCCCGTTCCCTGGGAGCAGAGCCCGACCCCCCCAGCTCCCCCCTCCTGTCAGGCAGTTGTAGGGAGTGATAAGGGCTCCCCTCAGCCTCCTCTTCTCCAGACTGAACACCCCCAGTTTCTGTAAGGAAAACTCTTCTCACTAGTTTTACTTGAGATCAGGATACCAGCGCATACGCAGGTGCATTTCTGTCAGTGAGCTCCTAATACAAACATCTTTTCCCATTTCTTGCACTTGAAATACTGGACAGTCTGCGTTAATTGGTGTGATGGTTGCATATGTTTATTGGTTCAGAGTTGAAGGGTTGGTATGCAACCATAATTTTTACTGTACTGGGCATTTCATAAGTATTATTGCTAGCACAAGACTGATACACACAGTGACAATCACAACTGTGGTTGTGTTTCTGCTTGCAGTAAGTGATGAATTTTATGATGAAAATAAGAAATATGGGTGTTTGGCTTTTTCAAAGCTTACCCTAGTTGTTTGTGAAACCCATACCTAAATTTATCTGAGGTGAGGCATTTTCCATAATCTAGAGGTAAGCTGAATCCCTGGAGTAACTATGGAGAGATGCTGTGCTCCTGTAATAAATGTAGCACTGCTCTTGAGCCTGGATCTCCAGAAACATAAACCTCTACTCTGTGAATAAGAGAACGGTGTTCCCGTATGTATGGGGAACTCCCCTCTGTGCTGTTGTACACGTACACCTGTGTGTAAGGGCAATGCAACTTCAGAAATCTTATGCGTGTGATAGCCCTGCTCTGAGCTTGGTCAAGGGCCAAACCTGGTGTTGGTGCCCAGATTTTGCTGTTCTGTACAGACAGGGCTGATCTACAGAAGGCCATGGAGCACAACAGCAGGCTGGACAAGGAAATTCTGGCGCTGCGAGCACGGGTCCAAACGCTCGACTTGGAAAGAAAAGCGTTCCTTGATCTGGTGAGTACCCATCTCCTGCTGCTGGATCTCCTGGTCTGCTGTGGCACCAACAAACCCCTGCGTAGCTGATGCTCCTGGGTTTGCTCCTGACGCTTAGCCCTGCTCCTTAACCTGCCCCTGCCTCTCTCTTTCCCCTCTGTTTTCTAGTGAGTCTTTCTAGAGCTGCGGTTCTGATGTTTCACGGCTCATGGAGTAATAAACTTTGGGAAACGGGCAGAATAAATAACCAAAGAGCGTTTTAAAGCAGCTGCTGTTACTGTAGCCCTGAAAAAAAAAAAAAAATCAGCTCTCATAGCACCCTTCTGTGCATGAAGAGTTCGGTACTTCACCGAACCCCGAGAGGGCTGTGCATGCTCAAACTGAGTACGTGCTTTGGGGCTTGCAGCACAGAGCCCTGAAGTACACATTTTCCTGCGCCCAGCTCGATGCTTTCTTGTTAGTAGTCATGTTTGCACAAAATCAAGTGGGTAAATAGAATAGGCAACATTTCTACCTTTTCTTGGGGACTGTTATTAAAGACAGTGAATAATTTTAGTCTAAACCCCAACGCTAGCTGCTATTTAAACAATTTTAAATTTACGCTTGTGTTTTGATACCTCTCAGCCTCTTTGACTTTTTAATGTGGCTATGTTGATTTAATCAGGAGAAAATAAACTTACTCTTGGCTTTCTTAAGTGAATGCCACTACTATTGGTTTAATGTTTGACATAATAAATTTAGGATTCTCTAAATGCAATAATCTTTATCAACAAGGTAGTTCCTTACTGAGATTGCCAATAGTGAATTAATATAACAATCTGTTTCCCATTAAAACATGCCACTTGGCTCAAATTCCGTTTCTGTTCTTAGCTTTCCAACTCTTTATATCAGTCCTTCAGCAGCCTATAATTGGTTGCCAGTGGTGTATAATTACTTATGCCATCCCAGCACAGATAGCTCAGCAGCTGTCTCGCGGCTCTCTTGGATTAAAATGGGTATTTTTCAATTAATATAAGTATCTCTGAGAATACAATGCCCACCTCTTTACAGTAATATCGAAGACTTACTTTCTTGAATGTAATTTCTTCACACTTGAGGATTTAAAATTTTTAGTATGTAGTTCTGTTCCTCGCTTTTAAAATGTTGCTGGTTCTTCCTTAGCATAGCGTCTAAGCATATCTGTAATCTTGAACCTTGTATTTACAGGACAGTCTGTTACTGGTCTGCAAAAAAACCCTATTTAGTTCATATTCCTCATGGTTTATGTTTTTTTTAATTCCAAGTAGCATTTTCTTTGCTTTAGGATATTGCTTTTTTCAGTCACTATGCATACATACACGTGTGTATGTGTATTTTTTAAAAATATGTATTAAAAAATAAATATGTAAACAAAAAATGTACAGATACATGTAAGGTGTTGTTTTCTCTGTACCAAAAAAAATGTAGCCAGACTGCAATCACTTCCAACCAACCATGTTGTTAAGCTAAAAGCAAATGACCTTTATTCCTTAGGAATGGGGTTTAACTGTTGGCATAGAAGTTACAAACCCGCAATTTTTTTTTTGTTGAAGCTAAAAGCATACTTTATTGCAAGACCCAGGAGTTCTGCACCCTGAAGTCAATTTTTTGCTGCCGGGTGAGGAGCAGGCTGGCCACTTTGCTCTGGTTTGGTGGTCTGTGGGACACCGACCTCGTCCCTCCCATGCGCTCCACCATTTGGAGCATTGAGCCTTAACTGGTGTCTGTGCGGTGTGAGTCCGTGTGAGTGGGCTCTGCAGGTGCCTGTGGGTGAGGATGGAGGCACAGTATGAGGCTGAAGAAAGACAAATGCACACTGAGAAGGTGGTGTGTGTGAAAGCTTTGCGATGGCTGATGGCTCCGGAGCCTAGAAGTGCTGTTAAATTTGCAAAAAATCAAAAATCTGGGACA